CCAACCACTCCTATGGTGCCATTTCACTGCTTTTTTGACATTTTCATCAATTTTTAGATTTTTTTTCATGCCTGCCCAAGCACCGGCACATACGAGGTCTCACCCGGGGGCATTAAATGCAACTATTTAATAGCTGTAGCTGAATCAAAAGGCGTTTCGCTCCCATCTCCAGCCCTTCCCAGGGAGTCGTTACAAGAAATTACCAAGATAGGATCGCAGCGCCGCAGCAGATTTTATTATTTAATTGCCAAGGTGGGGCAGGGAGAGATGCCTGGGGGGGTCCTGGCTCCGCGCTGGTGCCGGCGGGGATGAACGTTACCGCTGCAGGTCACCTAAATGGAGAAAAAAATAGGGTGATGCTAGTTTGCAGGAGAAACCATTGAAGGTCGAGACAAATTTGGCCTTTCCAAACCAAAGGCAGCATCTATCCCCGATGCCGGCGTGGCCAAATCCGGCTCTCCGCTTCGTGAGGCGCCGGCACGCGGCTGCGTCTGGCTCGCCGGGCGTTTCCATCAGCCGTGAAATGTAAAGTTGGAATTTTCTGCTCCCCCCCTCCACCATCCGCCGAGCCCAAAATCAATTATTCCCACCCGCACGCTTGCCATCGATGCACGACGCGCTCGGTAGCCGCGCGGTATTGCCGCAGCCGTGCCGGAACGGGTTGGTAACGGGGGTTGGGGACCCCCCCGCTTCGCCTCATTCCGGGCTCTGAGAGGGGGAAAAGAGCCCCCTGAGAAGGGCTGGGAGCTGCCCTGGGGGGTGCGGGGGTGTTTTCGGGGCTCACCCTGCTGCTGCTGCCTTCGGGTCCTTGTAACCCCCCCCAGGTCTGGAGCAGGGGACATCGGGGCTCCTGAGGAATGGCTTCACCCCCCCCCACCTCCATCCCAACCCCACCATCCCCGGGATGCTGGGAGACACCGCGCCTTTGGATAACCACGAGGCCGGCATCCCTCACCTCTTTCGGGGCTGCCCCCCCAGATTTGGGGAGGAGGAAAGGGTGAGGGATGCAGGAGGAGGCGGCGGGGGGAAGGATGCACATCCCTGGTCCCCAGCTGCCGGCTGGCGCATCCCTCCACCGGCAGCCCCCGGGGGTGGGCTCAGCGACGCACGTGTTCGGGGAGGGAGGTGTGGGGACGCGTGTGTACACCGTCTATATATACCACCGTGGCACAGGCGCCGGAGGAGTCACAGATCAGAGGAGCCGGCAGCCGACAGCACACCCGCAGGTAGGAAATCCGCTTTAATTTTCCATCCTAGGGGGGCTTGGTTGGGTTTTGTTTTTTTTGAGTCCGAGGATGGTCCGTCCGGCTTCGATTCACAAATAGATATTCCCCTCCCTGCTAAGGGTTAAATGAAATATCTTCCCAGAGGGAGAAATCCATCCCCTCTATCCCAAGAGAGGAAAAGTTTCGGCTTCACCAGCCAGCCCCAAAAATCAATCAGAGTGGAGCCGGAGGGATGCAACAAGAGTCGGCACGGGCCGCCTGTCCGAGGCCGGGGGGAAGCCCACAGCGTGATGGTGGGTTCCTCCGGGATGGGTAGGATTTTTTAGGGGATTTTTTTGGGAGCTACCGCACCGCGACTTTCCCCATTCAGTATTTCTGCCCCTTTTTCTTCTAGCCAGGACTTCACTAGGGTCGCCATGGGATGCTGCGGGAGATGCCCAGCTTGCGAGCAATCCCTTTTTCCCTCCCCAAAAGCACAAAAAAAGAGGAAAATGGGGGGGGGATTGTTGCTTTTTTTTTTTTTTTAGTCTCCCCCAAAAAGCAGGAATGAATGGCTGAGACATGGGAACACAGGGAGAAATGTTCTTCCCGAGATTTTTTTACCTCTAAACAGCCTTTCTCAGTCTCTCGAGCCTACATCTGTGTTTATAGTCGCGCCGCGGCGTCTAATTTTGGCCAATTATGGCCAATTACCTGATTGAAGGGGATCGACAAAAGGAAACGCTTATTTTTCTGATGAGCGCTGGGCATCTGTAGCCAACCCCCCCCCCCCAAATCCCTCCGGTTCTCCCTAAAATCCCCCCAAAACTGCCGGCACAAAGCCGTGCGGCATTGCCAGGGTTTGGGGGAGCCTGGGAAGTGTTTTAGCCGGTGCCAGTGGGGGACACTGTTGGACAATATTGCGCTTTTTTGACTGGAAAAAGCTTCGACTGCTTCCATGCTGGCTCCCAGCTGAGCCGGATCCTGCCCGGTCGCATCCCTCTTGCCCTCTGGATCAGGCCTTGGCTTTGGGCAGTGGGTGAATTAGGGAAAAAAATGAATTGAGGTTAGTTTTGCTCAGGGCGTGGTAAGCAAGGAGCTCCTGAATGTGTTCCTCACGTGGCGGGACTAATCCTGAGCCGGGAAAGTGAGAGCATCGCTGCGTTTAAACCCTTGCGACGGTGTTCGGGGAAGGACGGCGGCGATCCCGCTGCCGGGATAATCCCTGCTTTTAGCATCTCCCATGGGAAGAGGGGATGGAGTATCCTTGGGGAAAGGCAGGGAGCATCTCCCCAGCGCTGCCCGTGAGCTCCCAACCCAAATCGCATCAAATCAAGCGAATAAAACCCATCTCGGCAAGCACCTGCTTCCCCTTCCACCTCTTCTCCTTGCGTTATTCACGTCCCACGTCCTTCCCGCTGCCCCCCGAATCAGCCCTTTTATATGACTGCATCTCCCACATCATCCCACCCGGAGCAATAAATAAAAGCCGCTTGTCCTGATGGATAACCAGACCCCGCCATTATCTGAACTGCAGGCTGGATTTCTAGAAAAACCTCTTTTTTCCCCCCCAAATATTAATGAGGGTAATTCAACTGAATTGAAAACTCCAGAGGATGCAGCCTTGGGGCATCCCGTAGCAGCAAGCGGGAGGGGGGGTCCCAAAGCTGTTTGACGGGATGGAGTGGCTGTATCCTGACACACAGCCCCCCCACCCTGGGATGGACAGGTTTATTTTTTGGGGAGGAAGAGGAAGGTTCGTGCCCAGGAGCAGCCTCGGTGTCCGAGGAGCCACGGGAGTGGCTGTGGTATGATCCCAGGGCTGTCACATCCTTTGCTGGGGTTGATGGCATCCCCAGACACGAAGGCAGTGGGACTGGCTGCTGCATCCCTTGGGAAATAGGGCCTAGGTTCAGTTTTGCCGGAGGAAAAAAACAGGGAAAAATACGAAAAAACAGGGAAAAATACAAAAAAACCAGGAAAAATAGGGAAAAAAGGGGGGGAAATGTTGAAAAATGGGAAAAAATGGGAAAAAAAATGGTGAAAAGGGGGACAAAATGGGAAAAAGGCATCCCGCTTTTTCTCATGGGTCTGTGGCTGCAAAACTCGGAAAGGGGCTTCTTGCCATCACCACCCCACAGCCCTGCCACCCGCCCTCACCCTAAACACCCAAGGGCAGAAGCAAGAAAAAAATCTACGGCACTCAGTCCCTTCCCTTTTAATGGGTTGATTTAACTGCGGGGGGGGGCATTGATGCACGAAGTGGGGCGTTGTTTCCCTCTTTCCCACCCCTGCCCCGGCCGGTGATGCTGGCAGGGTACCGCATCCCGCCTGCCCGATAGCATCTTTCAATTAACTGGGAAGAAAAGCCGAGCCGTAATCTCGGAGCCTCCTCCGCAGCCAGATGTGACCTGCTTTTCCCAGGACATTGGACTTGATGTCTCTTGGGGACGTGGGGACAGGGCTGGGGGGTGGGTTGCAGCCCCTTTCCCGGCTCCGCTGAACCCCATTTTGGGGCTGAGAGATTTTTCGGGGGTATTTGCCCTCTCCCAGGAGCTTTCTGTCAAGCCTCTGACTCACACCGCCAGCCTGTTTTAATGAGACTCCACGAAGATTAAGCCTTAATTCCTGCTCCTTATCAGCTTCCCCTCGTACCCTCCAGCAAATGACAACCGAGAGCCGCCGGGCTCTGTGTCACCACCCGGCTGGCAGGGATGAGAGGTGACCGTGATGCTGGTCGGGGACCCCTGCGGATGCTCTGCCTCCGTTGCAAGGACTGGGGGTGTCCCTCCACCTTGGTGGGGTAGGAAATAAATGGGGACCCCCTGCCCAGGTGCTCAACCTCCCCCCCCCAAAAGCGGCCTGAAATGCTGCTGGAGCAACACGCAGGTTGCAAAGCCACCGTCACCGCGGTCTTCCTCGCCCCCGAGCATCCCAGTACGGGGGTTTCTGGATGCTACCAAGCGTAGTATCAACTTCCACATCCTTGTCCTGCTCCTCTCCATCACCTCCATCTCATCCCCTCGCTGGTTTATAAACCTGACCCCATGCAGCACCGGGACCCACTCCCAAGGACCATGGGAGTGTCAGATCCCTTTTCCTGGGATGAGGGAGTAGGGAGTAAAAATCGGGAGGACCAACCCTCCTGTTTGCAGACGGCCATGGGGTTGTGTCGTGACAAATCGCCAGAATTGGGAGGGAAGCACATGGCCTTCGTCATGTCACTTAATCGCCACCTGCCACCGATGTCAGCAAAGCCAGATGGGACACAGCGGGCTCTTTGGGAATTGGCTTTGTGGCTCCATGCCGGGCAGGCTCAGATCCTGGCAATCCCTGCTGGCAGCAATGGCTGAACCCTCCCAAGATAGAGACAGGATTGGCAGCACCCCAAAAACAGCCAGGAGGGGAAACCGGAGTGGGACATCCTCACCCGGCTCCGGTGATACTCGGATAAGGAGCGTCCTGCTCAGGGGACAGCCGGGGACGTGCTGCCTCGACACGTCCACCTGCTAAAATAAGCCCCAGCTGGGACTTGTGCCATGAGATAGCCTGGAAAAAATTAAGCCGGGACACGCCAGATCTGTTTTGGACATGAGGAGGCAGCCGCGCTCCTTTTCCTAAAGGATAATTTTGGCAGGGAGACTGGGAACACATGTGTCTGGGGCGGGGGGGCGGGAGGGAGGATGGGCTGAGAACGGGCACATTTCGGTGCAGGTGCAGGGCTCGGCAGTGCCGGTGCCGTCCCGGCTTGACGGGTTTTCTCTCTCCTGCGCCGTAGCTGCTGCCGGTGCCGCCATGAGGGCTGTGCTCTGGGACCTGCTGCTGCTCTGCCTCTTCGCCCGGGCACGGGGCGACTGCCGGGGGGACTGCCTGCGCTGCGACCGCCACCTCTACCGGGACAGCTTTGACGTCCTCGTAAGTCCCCTCTGCCTGCTGGATTGTCCCCCACCACAGGCAGCACCCACGGGGGTAGCACCTGTGGGTGCTGCCCCAACTGCATCCCCCTGTACTGGGTGGGCACCCTCCTCCCTGCACCAGGGTTGGGGTTTGGGGTCGGGGGGGGGCTTTGGCTGCTGGTCAGCATGGAGCCTCAAGGGGAAGATGTCACTTGCTGTCACTGTCCCTCCTCCTTGGGCACTCCCCAGGGACGCCATCGAACGAGGTGGTCCTGAGGGAGGATGCAGACCCCAAATCAGCTGCTGGGAGTGATGGGGACAAGGCTGTGACAGCCCAAGGAGGGTCTCAAGACCCTGAGCATCCCCAGCTTTCCTGCCCCCATGGCTTGTGGCATCACTCTCCCCACTTATGCCAACCCCGGAACCCCCTAGACCCCCACCCCATCCTCCAAGGAGCCACCAAAATCCCCCTCTGAGCCCCATCAGGATGGGGCCAGCTTTGCAGATGGCCACTGAGCTGTGGAGTTTCAGGGGATCAGGGCATCCCACAGCCCCTCTTCCCTCTTGATTTGCCTCCAACACTAGATGGGAAGAGCCATGAAATGGACTTTTGGGCTTTTTCCAGCCCCTAATCCTGGCCAGCAGCATTTCTTTCCCTCCCGTTTACCCTCTGCCCCAGGGGCATTATCCATCTCCTCCCCCCGCACCCGCTCACCTATTTATTAGCGATGATAAATCCTGGCAGGTTGAGGTGTCCACCCGAAAGGAGCCGGCAGCTCGAGAAGCTCCCAGGGCTGGGAAATGTCCCCCCAAAACCAGGGGGGACCAGAGACTTCCTGGGCTCTTGGAGATGCAGGAGCCACCCCAGTGCCAACCCCTTGCTGGCAAAGCCTTCTGCAATCGCATGTTGCTGCCACCAGATTTTGGGGTGCGATCACCCTGGTTTTGCCCCAAAATGTTGTTTTGCAGTCTGAAGGCAACAGCGTCTCTGCAGGGCCCTCCCCTTCCTGCCTGGTCCTGCTTCTGGAGCTGCGTTTTGCTCTGTCTTCCCCGGCCAGCAAGACGGAGAGGAGATGGGATGGTTGGTGGCTCATGGGTCCCGTGCAAGGCTGTATCTCAAAGCGAGAGTGGTTTGAACCAGGAGTAGAGGAACCCGGGGTCTTTCCAGACTCAGTTTCAGCTGGAAGAAGCATCGTGGTGGGATTTGATACAACCCTCCACCATTTCCAAAGCAACAGCCAAGGAAGTCCCATCAGCGATGTGGCTGATCCATCCTTCAGAGGTAGAAATAGGAGATCCCCCTGAAGTTACAGGCATGCCTGCACCAGCATGGCAGCTGCCAGCACAGGACAGGGACCAGCTGACGGAGCTGGTCTTCAAGATGTGGATGAATCACCTACATCCTGGTCCCCAGAGTCATCTAGGGATGGTGCAAACTCACAGCAGCACCGTTAATGCCAACCAAAGATAGGAAGAAGCCTCCCCAGGTAATTTCGGCACTGGACGTGGAGGAGCATCGGCTGGTGTTTGCTGAGAACTCCCAAAACACTGCGAGCAGAAGCCATTTCCATGTGAATTAAGACCACAGCATGGTGGCCAAGGAACCTGGGATGTTCATGGCGCTGTTTTGTGGATGAGTGATAGGACCACTGATGGTCTTCAGCCTGACGCCTGGGGTAATTCCTCCTGAAGCTTATTCGCTAGTGCTCATCAGAGCTGTTACCTGCATGTGACCCACCACCATTCATCTCCAACGCAGGGCACTGCCAGGACACTGTCCATGAGCCATACACCCTGCCAAAGCCTCGGAGATCCCGGGACAGGATCTTGGCTCGGCAGAGGATACCCCCGGTGTCTCTGCAAGGACCCTCGTAGGTGTCCCGGCATACAAGACCCTCGTCACCACCTCACTTTGGGACAACTATTTTTCTTTTGTCTTTTTGTCTGAAGAGCCTGGCTGCCCTCGGGGATGGAAATAGCCAGTTGCTGCAGAGCCACGTGCTTGAGCTGCAGCCCCGAGACACCACATTGGGACTTGCAGCACCTCTCACCTGGCGAAGTTAATGAACCTGTGGCGAAGAAGGTCTTTGCAAGGGTTTTGGTCTTGCAGACAGCCTGTGGCAATGAGACACGCCAATGTGCTTCAACATGGGCTCCCCCAGTTGGTGTTAAGCATTTAAAAGAGCCCGCCATGAAGATAATGCTGGGATGGAGACACTCCAAGGTGAGGGAAGACAGCCCTTCCCTTCTGGGCTCTCCAGCCCCGGTTTATTTGGGCATTTATTTAGTTTGGTTCTTCTACAATATCCTCCTGGATGGTTTCCCCTGGGTGCTGGTTTTGGTGGCACCAGCCCACTTGGGGCTCTCACCCCACAGCAGTGCTGGGTCTGTGTCCTGCCTTGGTGGACAAGGCCTCTTGGAAAGGGACAAGACGCAAACGTGGTGGGATGCACCCATGGGTGCTGAGGAAGCCTGATGGCACCTCTTGATGAGGCTGCTCTTGGTGGCCTTTGAAGGGACATGACAATCGGGGTGAGTTCCTGAGGGCTGGGAGGGATAGATGTCACACTTGTCTTCGAGGAAAGCATGAAGGAAGATGTGGGAAGCTACGGGCTGGTCAGCTTCACCTCAGTCCTTGGGGAGGTGGTGGAGCACATCATCCTGCAAAGCATTTCCAAACATGTGAAGGACAAGAAGGTCATCGGGAGCAGCCAGCATGGATTTATGAAGGGGAAATCGTGCTTGACCAGCCTGATTGCTTCCTGCAGTGAGACAACCAGCTCATCTTGACTTTCATCAGACTTTGACGTTGTCTCCCATGACATCCTCGTAGACAAGCTGCTGAAGCACAGGGTAGATAAATGGGCAGTGAGGTGGACTGAAACCCGGAGGACCTTGACATCTTCATTAATGACCGGGACGATGTGGCAGACGCACCCTCAGCAATTAGCAGATGATGCAGAGTTGGGAGGCGTGGATGGCAGACTGCAGGGTCGTGCTGCCATCCAGAGGAACCTCGCCAGGCTGGAGAAATGGGCTGGTAGGAACGTCACAAAGTTCAACAAGTCCTGCCCCTGGGGAGGAGCAACCCCAGGCACCAGGACATGCCATGGGCACATGCCAGAGGTCCCTTCCCACCTCCGCCGTCCCGTGACTCGATGATTTTTTTGGGCTCACGTCCAGCTGAAGGACCCAGCAGCGCAGAGCATGGGGTGGTGGGATGGAAGCGTGGATGTCAACGGCGAAATGTGGAGCATGTCCAGCGTGAAGCAGAACCTGTCTAGGGAGGGTCGGGAGAGGGATGCTGAGCAGCTGCCATGGCTCCCCAGCATCTCCACCACCGCCTCTGGTTGCCCAGGGATGGGTTTTGGGAGGGGACACCTCACCAAATGAGGCCAGGCAAGGGCTGATGAGCTGCCGGCACCTTTCCGTGAGCGTCTTCCAACACGCATGGCTGGACGTGGGGTAATGCTGGGCTGCCTGGCATTTGGGGTACACCACCCGGCACTGCCCGGTGTCCCGCAGTCCCCGGAGGACCAAATCCCATCTGACGTCCATCCCTGTGTCTCCCACGCAGGTCTGCATCCTGGAGTGTGAAGGCGAAGCCGTGCCGCGGGCCACTTGGGAGCTGTGCGCCGCCGCTGCCGGCCGAGCTGCCCCACGGCCCCGTGACCTCCAGGATGCCGGCGATCCCTGGCACGGTGCGGTGCCGGCGGCGCCGGCGGTGCCGGTGAGCCCGCTGCAGGTAAGCGAGCTGCTGCGGCGCCGGGAAGACGAAGACGAAGGCGTCGAACCGGCGCCGGACGCCTTCCCGCAGCCACCCGAGGACATTTCCCGACGACTCGGCGGTTTCCCGCGGGGGACGCGCGGCTCGTGGCCGGCGCCGACGGCCAGGGGGGTGCAGAAGCGATACGGGGGCTTCATCGGGGTCCGCAAGTCGGCGAGGAAGTGGAACAACCAGAAGAGGTTTAGCGAGTTCCTGAAGCAGTACCTGGGCATGTCGCCCCGCTCCAGTGAGTACGACATTGCCGGCGGCATCAGCGAGCACAACGAGATCTAACGGAGACCCGCGCCGCCCGGCTAGGTCCGCCATGGCCAAAAAAGTCAACCCTCTACCCCTCTACACCACATGTCCATAGGTGCAAATTAAAAAAAGGGGGCCAAAAAAAAAAGAAATAATTTGGAAATGGCTTGAAAAGGTTGAATTGGAGACCGGGGAGGGATGCTGAGGGCGGCTCGTCGGCATCTCGGCATCCGGAGGGTGCTCGGGGAAAGGCCCTTTGCTGTCAGCCTCCCCCCGCCCTGCCAGGGAGGATGGGCAAAAGGGTTTTGTCCTCAGCTCCAAATAGGTCTGAAGGATGGTTCAGCTGCCCCCAAAAAGCAGGAAAAAAAAAAACCTAAAAAAAAGTAGAAAATCTAAAAATAAAACCATTTTAAAAATTGAAAAATTAAAATAAATCTCAAAATCTGAAACAAAAATTTAAAAATTACAATAAAGTAGAAGCTTTTCCTTTTAGAAATTAAGTAATTCCTCCCAGAACACTCCAGCTTCATATTGCCAAATTGAGCAGCAGGTTAACCCCGCGCTGCCGCTCCCCAGGGACCCGCTTGTCCCCCCCCCACTGCCACCACCGGCTCCACGCCGGGATGCTCGGAGCCCCCAGTCCCTCAACCCTGCAGCTGCTGAGACCACCCATCCCCACCCCCCTTCCCACCCCAAATTTACAATTTGGGAGAATTTTAAAATTTTTTCCCCTTTTTTTGGTTCTTTTTCCTTTTTTTCCCCTCCGGGTGGCATCTCCCTAAATTAGGGGATGCACCCCCAGTCCCGCAGCCCCTGGGAGAGAGCCCCCCCTGCTCCCTCCGCTCTCGGCTCAGCTGCTTTTTTTTTTTTTCTCCTTTTTTTTTTCTCCTTTTTTTTCTTCTCTTCTTTTTTTCTCTTCTTTTTTTTTTTTTTCCTTTCTTTTCTCTATTTTTTTTTTATTTTTATTTTTTTATAGCGTTCCGGCACCGCATCCCAGCACCTTCCGCCAGGCACAGGCAAAATTAACCCTGCTCCTGTCCACCCCAGCAGCCTCCATCCTCTCTCTGACGGACCCCAAAGCGCTTCAGACTTGCACACGTTCAGAAATCACTTTGCTCTTCACGCACTAAGCCAGATTTAAACCAGGACCTGACGAATTTCGGCCTCCGCCGGCGACGGGAGCGAGATGCTGTGGGGAGGGAGGGGGAGGAGAGGACCGCGGGGGAGCGGGGAGAAATTTAAACAAAACAAGGAAAAAAGGGATTTTTGAAAAAAAAAAAAAATTTGGATTTTTGGAGTTGGGTTGGTTTTTTTTTTTGGTGGGTCGGCCACTGGGAACAAGCCACCTTGGATCTGGCAGAAAATCAGCCCCCACCCCACATTCCCAGTGCCTTCCCCGGCAGCGCTCGGCATCCCCCGGCCATGGCTTTCGCCTTCCCACAGGATTTATTTCCAACTTTTCGGATGGGGGATGCCGAGGGGTCACGTCCCACCGTGGCTTCGTCCCCGCCTGCCCGACCCCGATGGCCACCACAGTGGCCAGCTCCCACCCCAGCGCCCAGAAACCACCTGGAAATGTTTAATTTTTTGATTTTTTTTTCCCTTTTTTGAAATTTTTCCTTTTTAAAGTGTTTTCCTCAAAGTTTTGTAAAGCCTCCGGGGTTGACTTCTTTGCTCAGCAATACAAACCATGCGCGCGTGTTTTCGTTGTGTCCCTGTCTGTCCCCTTGCCCCGCTGGCATGCATCGCGTCCCAGTCCCCGTGCCGGGATGCAGTTTTTTCCTTGTCGCTCCCAGGAGGATAATTGGAGCCAGTTGATTCTCCTGCCTAATTTGCTACCCAAAAAGCATATCCCAGGAGCGACTTCGCTCCCTGCAGCACTGCCCTTCACTGTTTGTAAAAAAAAAAAAATAAAAAAATTATAATATAATAACCCCTACGGAAAAAAAAAGAAAAAAAAATAATTCCAAGATCTTGTTCTTTTTAATTGTTTCATACAAAGATTTCTCCATTAAACTTGTACATAGCAAAAGGATTAATAAATTAGTTTACTGTTTCTACGATATTATTGCGACTGGCGACCGTCACTTGGGTCAACACTTGCAGAGCAGGTCCCTGCTGCCCCCCCCACCATGGGGGAATAGAATCACCCCGCTCAGCTGGGAAAGGGTTTTAGGGAGGGGGGAAAGGGAGATTTTTGTAAATTTACATTATTTCCAGAGTGGGGGCTTTTCAGGTTGTAGAAATCCCCCCTCATGTGGGGCGGTGCTGTTGCTCACATGCCCCGCAGCCAAAAATGGGATGGATTGGGGGAGGTTATTTGGGGGCAAAAAAGGGGGATTTAAGTAAGAAGGGGAATTTCTCCTTGGCTCCATCACACCCCTTTTCTGTAGGGATAACGAAGGCGCCTGTACCCGCAGCCCCCAGCATCCCCAGGGGAGGCCCCAGCCCAGCTGGAAATTTGGGGGTTCACCCCTCCTAGGAGCGCCCTGGATTTGGGGAGAGGACCAGCATCGCAGCCCAAGTGCGAGGGCACTATTTTTAGCATTGCCATAGAAACGGTGCCGGCGGCCAAGGGGTAGGAATGCTCAGTGGCCATCCCGCGGGCTGGCCCCAGTGTCCCCAGTTGGGTCCCAGTTTGCAAACTAGGTTAAAAATGGGCTCCGGCTGACGAACCAGCTGCAGGCAGAGGGGTGACTTCTGCTGCCTTTTTTGGCCAGGGGTTGGCAATTAAAAAAATTAATTGGGGGAAGACTTTGGCCAGCAGGAGAGTTTGCTTTGCCCACGGCACGTTGGGACCCGAGGTCCCCGAGCTCCTGTGTGGGACGGGTCAGGGTCAGGTACGGGGCCAGCCATAACCCCTCAAAAATGGTAGGAATCTCACCAATTTGGTGTTCCCGGGATGCAATTTTTAATAGTGTAGTTTTTTCCTACCTGCTCTCCTTTCCCTGCCGTGTCCCTGTTTGGCTCCCTCTGCCCTCCATCTCTTTCCCCTCTCCTCTCCCCTTTTTTTCCTTTTCCAGTTCCTCTTTCACCTCAACATGCATTAAAACAAAACAAAAAATGTATAAAATCATCCAGTTTTTTTGCATCAAAGGGCAACTTCTCAGCTTGACGTTTGACTTGCGGCAAGAGAGGGCTCCGGGTCACAAGACCTTAGAGTCTCCCACCGAAGGACATTGATTAAAAACCCGCCAGGTTTAGTATGTATTAACCCCTCCCTGCAGCTTCCAGGCTAAAAAAATGATGGATTTGGGGGGGTGGGGTAAAAATCCAAAAAAAAAAAAAAAAAAAAAGGATGAGCACCATTAGCTGCTGATGGAGGGAGCAGCACTGCCATCGCAGCTCCTAGCACCGGGCAGACACTGCTATCTAGTGGTGCCAGAAACTGCTGGGACACACACACACATCATCTCAGGGTCGATGTCCCCACTCTGTCCCAGGGGAGACGGGGTCCCGCGGGGGTCCCTGGGGGACAGGGAAGCAGCCCTGAGACATGGGCTACAAGGACAAGGCAGAGCCAGCTACCAGGCAACTTTTCTTTTTATTTCTTATAAAATATATTTCATATTGCTGCTGTAAAAATTACATTTCACATTTTTAACTTTTTTTTTTTAACAATAAAAATAATACTTGGAAGACAGCTGAGAAAAGCTCCAACAAGACAGAAAATTCACTTGATACGGCATCGTCCCCGCTCAGCCGAGCAGCCGGTGGCCCCACGGGGGCACGGCCGTGGTGACAAGTGTCCCCAACCCCTTCTCTGCTCCCCCCGACCCCCCCCACCATGACACCTCCAGGAATGACGGCAACGGGGCATCGAGTGACAGCGTGGGGTCACCCTGCGCTAAACTGACTCGCTTCGCCTTTCGGGGTCCCCACCGGCAGCGGGGTGGGCAGAGTGTCCCGGCTGGAAAGAGGAGGGAGCAGCCTCCAATTAATTAGTGCCCAATTAAGAGGTTCCTATATACATACATATACATGCTCCAGGAGACAGCCAGATGGATGAGGGAAAACTCTCCAAGCTGGATTTACGCGGTTGGGGCTGAAGAGGAGTTTTCTTGAGACCAGCGAGACTCAAGTGTCGGGAGGAAAAAGTCCAAGGGACAGGAGGTGGCTGGAAGCGAGTTAAAAAATAATAGGAAAGGGAAATAATAGGGAAAGGACTACAAAACCAAAGTTATATATCCAATGCCAACCAACCCGATAGACACGGTGGAAGCCTGCTGTCATTTCTGCAAAAATACGAGAAGGTTTTTCTGTTTAAAAGTGTAAAAATTCCGAAGTACTCCCAAACCAGAAGGAAAACAACAAAAAAAAACCTCAAACAAAAAACCAACCCACCCTGCACCAGTTTCTCCATTAAAAATAATAATAAAAAAACCCCAACAAACAACAGAAAAGAGCCATGAGCACAAGGACAGTTTTGTCCGGTTAAGTCCGTACCACAAAAGCCCTCGGAAAAAAAAAGCCTTATGCACCTCCCACCCCCCAAATAAACCAACACTGATATAAAAATATTCCTGCGCGAGAGAATCCCTGCCGGCTGCCAGGCAGTAAGTGCTATGCGCTGCGGGAGGAGGAGGCACTGCAAGGGCCGGGGCCGAGTCCCCCAGATTTGCTGGGGGGGGGGGGGGCCGCC